CCAGGCTGTGGCCAAGATCGCCAACAATAGCACAATTAGCACATTTCTGCCCTTATGGAATCCTTATTCCATCCAGGAGTAGGCTGGGGAGCTGTCTGGTAGAAATGCATGCCCCAGAAATTAAAACATTCCCTGCAGCACAGCCAAAGAATCACAAGGATTTATTAAGGTTGACTAGAGAGAAGCTTCTCCAAATAAAGATTTACAATAATATCAAAGGACCTTGGATGGCCCATGCTGAACAAGGATGGAGAAACCCTCACTCAGGTGATGCTTTACCATGCTGGAGTGAGTACAAACAATTTGCATCCTGAATATATGAAGTGCAGTCTCTGTTGAGAAGTTATTAGAAAGGGAAACTAAGTGAGGCTAACAGCTGAGACGGGCTGATAGAAGAATGCTCAAAATTGAAGATTAAGTGGCAATTTGGGATGAAAACCAGAGAGAGAATTAGTGTCTCTAAGACTTACACAATTAAAAGATCTTTATGGAAGTCTTATTTTAGAAAAAGAGAAATAAATATGGCCTTTGAAGCCTGAATTTACATAATGATTTATACGACATCATAAACATGGATACAAGAAAAATGTCCAGAGCTACGATAGGTGCAACTGATCCTGTGCTCACTAAAATTTAAGCTTTAATATCTGAGTTGTCTAACCAGATTTTATTTGAATGTTACATAAAGTAATGGAAATATAGAAACGACATTGCACTTATTAAGATTATGAGGCAACTAAAGTGTTTTAAAGAGCTTGCTGAAAAACAGTTCAGTGAGATAATAGTGTCAGTTCAGAATCTTATAACAATTGCAAACATGAACAGGAAATTTTTGATAATTCAAAGTAAATGGACATTTTATGGCAGGATTTGGAAAAGTCACAGAATAGAATTATGATGATAGAGTTAAAATCAAAGGAAACAGGTTAAATTAAGAGCTGCTACAGCATACTGAATGATTTAAAATAGAGTTTTCAATGCTGATGTACCTTACAAAGCTCTTATGTGGAATTTGACAAGAAGATAGAAGCAATATATATTCAAAACTGTTTATACACAAAGGAAAACCTTCCAAGAGATTTGATAATTCACTTCACAAATAAAAGCATCAGAGTTGAAATATTGAGACCACGCTTTAAGAAAACGCTTAAAATAAATGGGAATGAAATAATTATGTTTAAATAAATCCTCCCAAGATGCTAGAAATTTTTAGAGCATATAAATTCTTGCTGGAGCTGCTCAAATGTATAATTTGTTGAATTGTCTCATAGAGTTTGATAACCACTTATGCTGGTAAAATACATATGATAGATGCTTTGGAGAGAGTGGGAGATCTGTTCAAAATGTTGAAGAATTACATATTTAAATAACTGAGATGCTGTTAAGAAATAACAATAAAATAAGATGTTTTAATACAATTAAAATGAATTTAAAAATAATTTCATGGAATATAAATGGACTGAAATTGCCCCTGAAAAGAGGGGAAAGACACTTTAAAAGCCTAAATATGAAATTATTTATCTTCAAGAGATTCATATAAGAAAATGAGACTGCAGACTTTAGCAAAATAGAAAAACGAGCCTAGAGTTTGTGCTTGCAAACAAAACTAAAAGAAATGGTGGGGGTCTTTTATATAAATCAGACATTACAACCTAGATTGATTTTTGACAATGGACAAAGTATATGTACAATTGTAGAAATCAACTGGAATGGCAAGATAATGCATCTAATGGGTCTTTATGGCCCCAGTAATGAGGAATCAGCATTTTGTGAAATTTTGTTAGGAAAGATGTCTGAATTAGACCTGAAAAAAAAAATCTAGTTTGAATGGGTGATTGGAACAGGGTTGTTGATCCTACTAAAGCTAAAAGTCCCAGTAAAGGTATATCCTTGAAAATGGAGCAAACACAGTTTAGATAGAGATGCAATGAATATCTGTTTCTGAAGATGGAATTATTACAATAGTATAAACAAGTATTCAGGATTTTTCCTGCACTATGGGGAGACAAACCTTCCATTGGGTCTTGCCCCTTCTCCTCCTCCACTCCAAGGCAGGGCTTCAAAATTGTCACTCAAATTCACCATCCCCTAGAAGGAGAGTGACCTGATTCACAGCTACACAAGTTGGCTGGGAGAGAACCATCAACTGATATTGGAGGCAGAGGCAGTAAATTGCCAGTAGCTAGAAAGCATCCTTGCCTATGGTAGTCTGTTATGAGAAAGGCATTCATCAAGCAGTCCTAGTCAAAGGAAATAGCAAGAATTAATTTGATCCAAGAGTTGAAGAAGCCAGGAAGTCCAAAGTGTGATGTGCAGGAGTCTCAAAACAGGTATCAGGGACAGGAATGCTGGCTAGGAAACAGGCGAGTTGCTTCCAGCACTAACCTTAGGCAGGGTCAGCTCTTAAATGGCCTGACACCAGCTGGTCCTAATCAGAGCTTCTCTGTTGCTGCTTGGCCCGCAGCCTGGCTAAACATCTTTGTTGTAGCTTTTTGTCCCTCCTCCTTGATTGAGGACTTAGGACCCCAGCTGTGTCCTCTGCCTCATCAGCAGGTGAGTCTTGCCTTTGTCTTGCTGGCTGAGGCTGCAATTCAACAGGATGAACTGGCTGAGGCTCTTCAGCAGGGAAAGCTGGCTGAGGCTGCTCTGCAACAGGGAGAACTGTGGGCTGTTCTCTG